CCGTCGCTTAGCTCTGAGCCCACCTCCTGTGGTCTGAGATGCACATCATCAATGCAGGCCCCGGGGCTGCCATGAGGGCCTGCTGGTAGGGACCCCAGAAGGATGCTGACAGGTGGAAGGAGGGGAGAGAGCCTTCCATCCTCCGTCAGCCTCGGCAGGAGGGACAGGTGGCACAGGCCCCAGCCTGTCAAGCCCCTCCTCAGAGTGCGTCACCACGTGCATGGGCCCTACATCAAGGCCTAAGTTCTGGTAACCACAAGCTTTTTCCTTTGATTCCCCAAGTCTGTCTGGTTCTCTGGTAAATCTCTTATAGAGATTTTATACGTAAGTCAAAATCAATATTACTGGTAGGAATTCTTTTTTGTGTATGTGACTGAAACATAACTATGAAATGCTCATCTCTGTTATGGCAAGAATTTTTTGTATGCACTGCCATACCAGGAGCAGAATAGACAATCCCTGGAATTTTTTAACCCACCAAGGTAACCCAATAACCCCACCTAATTTTGACTATTTCCAAACTACAAAATAAAGTGCATCCATTTAAAGTTTTTACCAATGAAATACATCATTACCTGTACAGAACTGGCTGTTGGTGTCCCAAATGCCTGTCTCCCATGCCATCAAATCCAAATCAAAATCAAGGTTATCAAAATTGTTTTCCTGTAGGTTTCAAATCAGCAAAAGATATTAGAAAAATAAAATATATACATCTAGAAATCAAACTATCAACTGCAATTTGCCATAACATCAGTGCTATCACCCAACTTAGTAAAAATAATCTTCTCAATCGGTTCACCTTGAGCCCTCACCTCGGAGAGCCCAGAGGAGCCAATGCAGTCGCCAAAGCACAGCAGTAACAGCCAGGAAAGACCCCATGTTTTCCAGTGGGGACAGACCATTACAAGAGTCACCAAATATGTATCTGTCATAAGGGAGACCCAGCAAAATAACATAAGTTTTCCTGCTGCCACTAAGGAAAATGACTCAGAGCCAAAGCCCACTTATAGCATCACCTCCACACAATGGACAGAGCACAGGCAGACACCAAAGACCAGCACAAATCACAGGCCTTACCTGAACCTTCAAAGTCACCAAAGGACAGTGGCTATGTGAGAAGGAAGGGACCCGCAGGAGGGTGGGTCATTTTCTTCTTTTTTGTACTATCCTGTACTTTTCAAATTTCTAAAATAAAATTTCTAAATTTTTTTTAATCCTAGAAGATAAAATCTAGGTCAATCAGGGTCATAAGCCTCTGAAAAGGACTCTCCGTTTCTCAGTTTCTTTGCATTTAGATAATTTTTTCTTAAATATAAGTACACTGTGGGCTATCTGGATCGCAATCTAGACCATAGACATAAACAGAGAACTGCCTCATGGTTTCAGAGCCCTCACAGGAGTTGGAGATCAAGATAGTACCGCTACTATTTACAGTGTCTGGAGTCAGGCGGCAAGAACAGAGTAAACTTAATATAGAAACAGCACAACAAAGTCAAAAGAAAAGCAATGTTAACTTACTATGACAGATAAAACAGCAACAAGAGAGAAAGTAAGCCTCAGGCAAAAAGTAAAGATTGATCGAATAATTATTAACAACCATTTGGTAATAATTTCTAGAGTAACATTTTAAACACCTACCATGAGATTGATTTTTACTGAGAATATAACAGAAAGAGAAGGAAAACTGTTTTCTTATCACACTGCCCATAACTGAGTAAATACCATTCAAATTATATAAAAAGAGTCTGTACAAATTCACAAGAAAAAAAAAGAAAAAACTACTTAGATCATGAAAGAACCACTTTTTAAATCAATCTCCTTTGCTTGTTTCTCTTATTTGAATCCACATATCAAAAAGTAGGCAGCCCTGTACTTTCAGCAACCAAAAAATCCTCAAATTTTCCTAGCCTGTGTCACCTGAGCAACGAGGCTGGCCTGAGTGCCAACAATGCTTTCTAACCCGTCACGACCTGCCTAAGACACTCTCTCAGCCTCCAGCCAAAATAGGCAAATTCCTTTTAGAGCATAAGCATTTTATCTGGTTGGAATTTAACAGGCCCGCTTTACATCAAGTGAAACCCATCGGTACTTATGTCCTCTGGCTCTTCAGTGACTTCCCCTGGGAAACTCCATGGCCATGTGGAAGACGACAATATAATTCACAGCCAGAAAGGGCCCTCAGAAACCATCTGCTCCAACCCCTCCATTTTATACTAGAGAAACTAAGGAAGTGAAAGACTGGGTGACTTGTGTAAGGTAAGAATGTTAATTATAAAGTCAGGAGCACATTTCCCTGGACCTTTCCAACTTACTGCACTGTTTCTTGATGGTTTTAGGCGGCAGAAATTGTAAAAGAACATCTGTTGCTTAGGCAACCAGCCAGTATTGTCAATTTAATCAACAGAACACATTCTAAGCATCTCACAAAAGTAACATAAACCATCAAAATGCCATGCACTGATTATAAAATACATTGTGTTTTTACACTCTTCATAGTAAAACAACCGCTAAACTATTCTTTGAGAAATCTCCGAAAAACCCACTAAGCAAGTAATACATATTTTTATACTCAGGTTAATGAGAGCTTAAAAAATAAGGGATAAATATTTGATCCAACTGATGTGCACATAAAATCACTCTGTTCGGGTGAATTACTTCCCAACTGAAACAGCACCTCATCCATTACAGACTAAGGCAAGTAAGAGTTCTCTCAGCTGGTGTGCTGTGTCCTAGCACAAATGTACAAAGCCAGAAAAGAAAACCTAAGGTATTTTTGAGGACCCAGATACTACAATACCAGGACTTCCAACCACTCAAAGGCAAAAAGTAAGGACATATCCAAGTTTCATAGCATTCTACACTGTGGATCAGTAACTTTTAAAATGTTAGTAAGTTCTATTTGTCTGGGTCTGTGACGCACGTCACCATTTCCCTTGTGCAGCAAGTTATCTATAGAAACCAAGAAGCAGGCAGGGAAGTGAGTATTCCAAGGTCACCCACCCCTGAGCCAAAGGTGGACTTAAAGTACAAGTCTTCTTGCACTAAGATCAATGCAATTTCTACAACCCTAGATTTACTGACTACAAAATGGCTGCTAACTTTCATACTTAAAGTTCTTTAAACTTAAATAACTAGCTTAAATCTGTTATCCTGAAACCTTCTTGCAATAATTCAGGTAGGAATGAAGTGTCACACAATTCCACGTCTCTCCTCTAGCAGATACTTACATAAGCTTCATCTGCTGCTTCCAAGTGCAGGTCCTCGGTGTCTGTGAAACAGCCAAGTTCAGCAAACAGAGCAGAATCTTCGGACACAAGAAAAGAACAGAGGTGAACTGTCAATTCAATGTTTTGACGAAGGAATAAGCACTGTATCCCTATGCTGACTCTCTCAGGCACAGGGCTGACGCAGCTGGCATTACTATTATTGATGCTATCAATTACTATTATTGATAAACTCCGGCAGTGTGAATGACAACCAATTCAAAGCTAGATTCTAATTTATGTGCTGGTGTCCACATAATTACCTTGTGAACTCAATCTTACACCAGGAATTTAAAAACAGGCTTCATGTCACATCATGTTGGACTAGTTGGTAGTGACTTTCTGGAGCATCACTAACCCCGGGCGAGGGCAGCGCATGCACCGTCTGCCGCCCACGCCAGAAGTTAGGGGACAACCAATTTTCTATCTAAACAATAAAGGACTCACTCATCTCAACCATTAAGTTTATTTCACCAAATCTAACTATTCCAAGTTCCTAATAAGATTTCGTTACAAACCAAGAAATTTGTGGCCACAGGAAACAGTCTTCAATAAACCAGGTTGAAACTTTCTGTAGAGAAAAGTCAAGGTGCTGATTACTGTACAATTGGTAAAGTGTCTATTTTCTCTAACATTTTCAGAACCTCAAGAACTCTGAAGAGTTTTCCAAACCTAGGTTTGCCTTTCATACTCGTGTTACCACGTCACTGAAACTGCTCTATCTGGTCTCCTCATTTCATGTCAGTCTATTACTAACTGACCGATGACAGAAACACTTCACCAACCTCAAACAAAGTAATCCATAAGCAAAACTTTCGTATGTAGTAATAATGAAAGTTATTCATTCAGCTCTCAGAAAAGGACTACCTTCCCCTGAAAGGTCCTAACAGCAATGATATCCAGTAGCAATGAAAATACTGTGCTCAGATCTCGGAACTCAATGCCACCCTCCACTAAACGGAAGTCCACTAAGGGGCTCGTTGGAGAAATGGCTCATTCCACAGCTGAAGCAGGGAAAGTGCAAGATGAGACCAGAAAATGTTGTTGTGACAGAAAATAAGGAAATTCTCAGAGAATGATGGGAGCATGTCAAAAGAACAGCTGATATGAACAGATCCCCACGGGTCAAATCTGGGAAAATCTGAGCATCAAAATAAAATGAGAGTCCCAGATCACAACCCACCGAGTCAAGCAGAAATCAATGGGTCCATAATGAAACACACACACACAGAGGGGGCCCTCTCTTAGAGCACAACGTCGACAATAAATGGGGACAATATCAGAGATGATCCTACTTGGTATCACAGTGGGGGCTGGTTGAGGCTGCAGTCAGCAATGGAGCCCAGGGCTGCTGGGGGCAGGTTTACTAAGGGACAGGATATTGGTATCATGGAAGATTGTCTCCCCCAAACAGTGACTTGACAGTGGAGAAAGCCGGCAGACACCAACCTGACCATACAGTCAGGACACGTCCACGGCATGTGCCTCCAGATGCGATGCACTGAGAAGTGCACAGCATCATGTCCTAGCATCCCCACAATGCACACTTGACTCTGGTCATGAGGAGACCGGGGAAAGACCCAGGGTTAGGGTCATCTGACAGAATAAAAGACCTGTGCTCTTTAAGACTCTCGAGGCCACAAGAGATAGGAAAAGACTATGGGACCAGTCCAGACAAGTGAAAGCAACGCATGTTTGCAGAGAGGACCCTAGTCAAGAAAGGAAAAGCCACTAATAAGACAGATGGCGCCCTGGCCAGTTTTGCTCAGTGGTTAGAGCATCAGCCCTCAGACTGAAGGGTCTCAGGTTCGATTTTGCAACCAATCGATGTGTCTTTCTCACATCGATGTTTCTCTCTCTCTCTCTCCTCTCCTCTCTCTGAAAAGCAATGGAAAATATGCTCTGGTGAAGATTAAAAAGAAATAAGACAGATAGCAAAATCTGAATGGTGGCTGTGGACTGGACAGCAATACTGTACCAAAGTTTACGCCCTGGAGGGAAGAAGTGTATGATAGGAATACAGGAATACCCATTTGGGGAGAGGGAGTATACACTACTGCAGAATTTAGGGGTAATGGGTCAACACATCGAGAGAGAGAGAAATGGGGCAAATGTGGTAAAATTTAACAATTAGGGAATCTGTGTGAAGCGCATACAGTAGTTCTTTATACTGTTCTTACAACTTTTCTGTAGGTTTAAAACTATTTCAAAATTTAAATTAAAAAGCATGTGTGCATGTGTGTAGATCCATAATCCATCAGCTCATCACCTCCACTGCTTCTATTACAAATCACTTGGACTTCTTCAGTAGCCTCCAAATGATCCCCCTGCTCTGCCCTTGCCTGTCATTTGGTCTGTTTTCAACAGAGCAGCTAAAGCGAGCCTAGGAAAAACCTTGGATGTACTGGGAATCAGGATTTTTCACAGAAGGAAAGGAGAAATACATCATGCATGAAGGTGAGAAAGAACATGTGGCACTGCTCTGAAATGCAGGTGTTGGTATGAATCCACGCTTTTTAAAAATATCGATTTCCTTGTTCTTGACAGAGCCACGGTGAAGTGTCCAGGAGTTTCACATTACTTGTCACCCACTCTAGAGTACAGCAGGGTGATAACAGTGGGTAAGTCTGGATGAAGGAATACAGGTGATCACTGTACACACCTTTAAATTCTCCATGGCTTCCGAACACTTAAAGAAAATGGGTCCAGAAACACACTTGTACATGTATAGATCTCAGAAGGATCCCCAGAAAGTGGTAGCTCTGGTCACCTCTCAAGCATCCCTCAAGTCTATACCGATCCCACACTATTATTTTTACTTCCCTCAACAGTAGTCAACTATGGTAGCTTTCCCACCTGACCTCCACCTTACCCATTTATGTATCCATTCAGCAACTTCTTATAAAACAAAAAGTGGCCACTGGAATCAGTGGTGACCTTAGTAAGAGCAGTGGGGTGGAGTGGCGCAGCCCCACTGCAGTCGGTTCAGAGACAATGAGAGGAGAAACCAGTCAGTAAACATGGACATTTTTTAAAAAGAATTCTGCTGTGAAATAGAAGTGTGGTGGCACCTAGAGGGGAAGTAACATCTAAACAGGGTTTGGGGTCTTTTTACTTTGTTTTCACTGCAGATGGGAGAAGCAACCACATGTGCGTTAACTGACAGAGATGATCTGTTGGGGAGGAAGCAGAAGAACAAAGTGCTCAGCAACATTCCTGCATAATGAAGGAGGGGATCCAAGGCCTACGTGGATCTTAGTACACATATCTTATATGTGGAGGGAAAAGTGGTATTTGCATAGATGCAAGGGAGGGGCAGGGAGAGAGGGAAGTAGGAGGAAAGGGAAGAAACAGGGGTGACCAATAAGCACATGACAAGATGCTCCACATTACCTCTCATCAGAGAAAGGCAGATAAAAACTGCAATGAGATGTGACACACTTACCAGAATGGCTAAAATCCACAACACCCGCAATGCCCAACGCCGTGGGGTGTGGAGCAAGAGAACTCTCGTCCACTTCTGGTGGGAATGCAAAACTGTGCAGCCACTTCTCAGACAGTTTGGAAGCTTGTTACAAAACTAATCATACTCTTACATGACCCAGCAACTGTGCTCCTGATACTGACCCAAATGACCTGAAACTTACATCCATGCAAAAAACCTGCACATGAATATTTATAGCAGCTTTATATATAGTTGTCAATACTTTAAAGCAACCAAGATGTCCTTCAACAGGGAAATGGATAAACAAACTGTGTGTTGTGTCCCACCAAAATCTATACATTTAAATACTAATTCCCAATGTGACTGCATCCAGAGATAGGATGGTCTTTAGGAGACAACTGGGTCAAATGAGGTTATAAGGGTGAGGCTCTAATCCAATAGGACTGTGACCTTATAAGAGAAAGATCTCCCTCTCTCTTTCCCTCTCCCCCTACACTCCAGCCTCTCCCTCTTATTCCTCTCCTCCATCTCCTCCTTCTTTCCCTCCGCTTTTACTCCCCCCCTACCCTCCGCAACTATAAGGCATTCTGGAAATGGAAAAACTAGGAAAGCAGTGAAAAGATCAGTGGTTGCCCAGGAAGGAGGAGGGAGATGGGTGGAGAACAGGTATTTTAGGACAGTGAAATTATTCTCTGTGGTACTGTAACAGTGGATACATGACATTATGCTTCTGTCAAAATCCACAGAATGTACAACTCAGAGTGAACCTTAATGTAAATTATGGACTTTAGTTAACGATAATGTATCAATACTGGCTCATCTATTGTAACAGGTGTACTACACTAGTGCAAGATGTTACCAATAGGGGAAAAGGTGTATATGTGGGGGTATAATACGGAATTCAGTGTACTAAGTGCTCAATTAGTCTGCAAATCTAAAACTGTACAAAAAAATAAAGTCTATTAAGCATTGAAATAACTATGTGAAATTCAAATTCCAGTGTCCACAATAAAGTTGTAAAGGTGGAGTCCAGGAATTGTAACAGAAACCACATGACCTAAAGTATTTACTACCTGGACCTTTCACAAAAATGTTTGCAAAATCCTGCTCTAAAATTTCATTACCCAAGTTAAAGGAGAAAAAGCACTCCCCATCACAAGCTGTTCTGAGCTAATCAATTTAGTTAAATTACTCAGTTGTTAGGGTCACAAGAAGTACTAATTACATAATCTGACCCTTTAAATTGAACTGATCAGCTTCTAATAAAAAAATCAAATCACTTAAGTATTTCCCAGAAATAGAATCCATATTCTACTGAGACATGCTAGTAGACAGAAGTGTTTCACTCTAGTGCCTGCAAAATCTATCCTACTTACTGAACACCTGAGGAATAAGAATTGAAATGTTCAAGGAAGAAAAGATTGTGGACAGTTTGAAAAGAAAGCCTGGAAAACATGGGAGTGGGCACATTCAGGGAGGGGGAGTGCCTGACTAGCAGACCCGAATGCTCTTTAACAAGAACATGAAGACCTGGAGTCGGCTGCTCAGATTAGTCAGGAAAGTGCAGCCTGTTGTACCAGAAGACAAAAATGTAACGTAACGCTATCAGGAAGCGCCCACGGCTATAACTAAAGAAATACTGTGAACATTTAGTAGTTCACCAGCTGAGAAAACAGTCCTAACGACCTAACATAACAGGGGGATCTTGGTAAGAATCCAACCAGTAGAAGTAGTTTAGGAAGCAGTACAGAACAGCAACTAGAGCACAGTGTTTGGAGGTAGACCAACCTGGTTCTGATCCTGATCCTGATCCTGCTTCTGCCGCTCACTAGCTCTAAGACCACGTTCGTCTCTCTCAACCTCAGTTTACTCACCTGTAAGACAACAGAACCTCACTGGACTGTTGGGAGGACTTAACAAGATAATACACGCAAGAGTTCAGCAGGGCACCTGACACAATAAAGTGCTAAGTAAATGGCAATTGTTCTTATTTCTACTACATTTGGCTTGGGAAAATACTCTTGGAATAGATAGTCTAAAGTTTTTCCAACAACTCAGAAAATCTACCCAAGGATTGAAATAAATCGCTAACCATACATAATTTAAAAGAAGTCCTGCCTTTGGAAAATCAAGTGAGGACTTCAGGTCAATATACGGTATTGAGATGCCACTCTTGCTGCTGAAAATGATGGTCCAAGGGGAAAGATAAAGACCGGTCTGGGTTTCCCCCCAAATTCCAAAGCTGGTGAAAGGTGTAGGCTCAGCACAGGCCACTCCAGGACCTACACAACCCCAAATGCTCACTGAAGTCCAAGAAGAGTATTGGCGTTAGGTCTCACATTCCCAGGGGGATAAGGTTCCTCTAAGCCAGGGGTGGGGACCATCTGGCCCGCAGGCCTTATAGGGCCCAAGAAACCATTTGGCAGGGCCCTGCCATGGCCTCACCAAAGAGAAGCAGTTCCAGCCATCCCATTAGGGGTGAGTTAATTAAATGTTTGACGAAATACAGCAGGCTAATTGTTAAGTTGATAACTTTGTATAGCCCACGAATGATGATCCAAATGGCCCTGGGCAAAAAATGGTTCCCCACCTGTAACACTGAGATGACAATGCCACCCTGGTTCCCACCAACACCTCTCCACCCCTCCCCACTACAAAACCTAAGAAACTGGGAACTATCCGTCAGTAGCAGGGAAACCTAGAGCTGTATCTGGAGAGCAGGCAGGACTGTACAGCTTGTGGGTCCATCCCGGCGAGCGGGCCACGGCCAGGGGCCCAGGTCACTGCTCCGCTAAGACGAACAGACATCAGCCCAGAGCAGCAGCGGACGCTCGAGACCAGCATCTGTTGCACACTCAGTCTCATGCACACACATACACACGCACGCAGGTACACGCGCAGACACACACACGGGTACACGCACGCACGCAGGTACACCGCACACGCGTACAGACACACGCACGCGGGTACACGCGTACACGTGTAGACGCGCCCGCAGGTACACGCATGCACACTCCGCGACAGTCACCCCGTCCCACGCCCCGCCGGGGCCCTACTGCCTTCCGCCGCCGAACGACGCCCTCCCGACCCACAAAATCCCCGCCTGGTGCGCCCCTGGGGCGACAGTGACAACCGACAGTCATTCCAATCGGGAGCCAGCAGCGCCCGCCCGGCCCGACCCGCAGGACCCGAGCCGCGCGCGGGCCTCGCTCCGGCTGACCACCCCCACCTGTCACCGCCGCGGGCGGGAGGGGAGGAAGCAACCCAGCCACCCGGTCCTCTCCCGGACCCCAGGCTCACCCCAGTCCTCCTCCGGCCGCGNGACGGTGGCCGGGCGCGGACAAAGGTCCTCACTGCGCGGGGGTCCCGAGCGAGCCCGGAGGGGGGCATCCAGACCGAGGGATCCGGCAGCTCCTTCCCGAGTTTGCCGCACTCCGTCCCGCTGCTTTAAGGAGGAGAGAGGGAAAAAGACACGTAAACAGCGCGTCAGCGAAACAGGAAGTGCTGCTGACGCGGCTGAAAGGCGAAGCCCGGCCGCCGCCTGACCGCACCGCTGCCTGACCGCTGTGCGGTACGCCCGGACCCAATACAAAATAATTTCGAATTGAAAATGTTTTAGTTGAAAAGTCAAAAGGCGATGCCCTAGTAACACACGGGAGGGCTCCCCGGGCGCCTTCGCACAGCCTGAGCGCGGCGCTGGAGGCCGAGGGGGCGTCGCCCGGCGCCCGCGATCCCCGCGCAGGTGCTCGGCAGACGCGGGGGGAAAGCGCCCTGCGGGGCGGCCCGCCCGCGCCCACC